ATCAAGATAGGACTGAGAACAAGTCCACATATCATGATATTGGAGGTCTCCCTTCAGGTTGGCATTGTTTTATGAGCCTCTTTTCCAAGTGATGACTCAACATCTCTGATCTCTACTTAATTGTATTGTCTTTTCATAAGTAGTAAAAGCATTTGTCAAATACTGCTGAAATGCAGGTTTCTCATATTAAAGAGATTTGTACCTGAATTAATTTTGACCTTGTTAAAAATAAAATTATTAGTTTGTTGTCAATTTATACTGCTCTGTGCTGATCATTCCTTTTCTAGATGTGAACAAACATCCTTAACATATTTTCTTAACTCATTGAGTACTGGTGTCTATTATAAGGTACCTTAGCTAACAGAATATATGTTCTGTTATTGAAAACAAGAGATTTATTTGATTAATCCCAGGCTTCTGATAACTTTTTTCTTCTCCATAATTGCAAAGACCAAGCCTTAGTTCATGTAGGGCTTTAGATCATCGTCCACTAAATCTGTTTCACTGAGACATATGAACCCGATTTTATGAGTTCTTCTTTTATAAAAGCCAAGGAAGGGAAAATTATTTTAAAAGATGACAAATGGTGACATGTAGATATATGAAGAGGGATAAGTGGGAGAACTAAAGGAAATCTATTTCTGAAAGGAACTAACTATTTCTTTAATTTAGGGACTTTAAATTTTTATGATTCTATAAATTAACTAACTATAGAGAGGGGATACTCAGATTTGACAGATAGATATATACTTTTAATTTTTTTATTCTATCAGGGAAGGTAAAGGAATATGTACTAGTAGAAATAGAATTGTTGAACATATCCTTATATTCCACTCATTATTTCTCAGGGGTAGAATATAAGTGTGAGATTTAGAAGAAAGAAATGATCCATTTCTATGATTTAAATAGAATTTGAGATGATTTTTAACATATGATAAATTATATTGTTAGGAGGAAGAGACAAAGAGATTACTAAAATAGAGGAAAATTCCTAGAAGATACATGATGACATAAGGAAGAGTTAAGATGATGTAATTTGAATAGTATTAATGGGCAAATTTGAGGTTGAAAACACATGTGGAATGGAGTGTTATAGATTTGGTAGCAAAACAGTTGTCTATATTTTTTCTAGTACATTGTTTAATAGAAAAAATTGAACACAGATGAAAATAGAAGCAGCATTATTATTATTTTTTAAAATATCTTTTTTCTTTATTGATTTTAGAGAGATAGAAAGGGAGAGGGAGAAAGAGAGACAGAAACATCAATGAGAGAGAACATTGACTGGCCACCTCCTGCACACCCCCACTGGGGATCAGGCCCATAACCTGGGCAGGTGCCCTGACCAGGAATCCAAGTGACCTGTAGGTCCATGGGTCAACACTCAACCACTGAGCCACACCGGCCAGGCCAAAGTCCCTAAATTATTTAGTCATATTTTGATAAAGTGTTTATATTGTATATTATATTAAAATTATTATATTATAATTAAATAATATATTAATGTAATTACTATATTATATTAATATCACATTATATTATATTATATTATATTATATTATATTATATTATATTATATTAAAATTAGTCTTGGTAACCATAAGAAAAATTCTATGAAAAGAATATATGAGCTCAAAAGTACCTACTTATTTGTTTTTCTAGCAAAAAGTATATTTTTGTCATGTATGTGTAAGAATTGATTAGTGAAAAAGTTTTTAGTAAAGAACAAAAACTGAGATTTATTCCAAGACCAGTTAGTACCTATCATGAGCATTCAAAAATTGTTGCACAGTCAATCACTACATAGAGACAAATCATTTTCAATAAATAAACTAGAACCCGGCCATTGTGGCTCAGCTGACTGTCATCCCATGGACTGAGAGGTCCCGGTTTGATTCCTTGTCAGGGTACATGCCCGGGTTGTGGGACCTCGATCCCTGGTGGGGGGATGTGCAGGAGGCAGCTGATTGATGTTTCTCTCTCACATCAATGTTTCTATCTCTCCTTTCCTCCCTCTCTAAAAAATCAGTAAAAACATATTTAAAAATAAGTAAATAAATTAGAGAACATCATATATAAAATTTAAAAGATAGAAACTCAAGGATATTTAATTAAATATATCTCTATTGTATAGTATAGGGATTTGGGCAGAAAATTGAAAATACAGGGGATAAAAAACCTATCCAAGTGTCTCTGTTAAACTGCAGAAAAAAGGATGTTTCTACAAGAAGACAGGTCAAGGTAGGGGAAATATGATGATGAGTTCTCTATTTCAAAATTCTATCAGCTACCACATATTAACAACTTTTTATGAATTTTCTCTCAATGGATGCAGGTGGTGCCAGTCACCAAAACTAGAAATAAGTATTAGTAGGTTTGGAGAAAAAAATGTCTTCAATTCTCTGGAGTGTATGATATCTGTGACATTTTCCAGGTGAAAGTGCATAGCTCATGGTTGTTATAAGTATACATAAATTAATATTGGTACAGAGCGTTAAAACAATGACAGATAACAAGCACTATACAAATATTTCATAAAAAATATACAAAAGTAAACATCTCAGTAAGGAGATCTATTTGAAGATATATATTTTGAGTCCTCAGAATTAAGACTGGTGGTTCTTTTTTTTTTTTTTTATCCTCACCCGAGGACATTTTTCCATATTTTGTTCAGATAGAGTGGGAGGGAGGGAGAGAGAGAGAGAGAGAGAGAGAGAGAGAGAGAGAGAGAGAGAGAAGCATTGACATGAAAGGGACACATCAAGTGGTTGCCACCCGCAGGGCCGGGGACAAACTGCAACCAAGGTACGTGCCCTTAGCAGGAACCAAACCCGGGTCTCTCTGGACCGCAGGCCTACGCTCTACCGCTGAGCCAAACCGGCCAGGGCAAGACTGGTGGTTCTTATCAAGGAAAGCATAATATCCTGGGAAGGTTTTTCAAAATACAAACGTATACTCCCTCCCAAGATTCTGTTGTGTAACCCCCTTCCGTGGCAAACTGTTATTGATTTCCTACCAATATCTGCTTTTTCTTCTTTTTTGATCAGAGACCCTCAATTTTACTTCAGGCAGCAATGTACCTAGTAAAAAGGCCATATTTCTTATCCTCTCCTTTGTACCTATGGGTGGCCAATGAGATATAAGCTAAAGTTTTTTGGAAGTATTTCTGGGAAAGTTTCTTAAAACACATAGCCTGTCTTTTATCATTTCACCCTTTTCTCCATATTGCTGACAGAGCCATACATATTGTGTTTGGAGTTTTAATAGCTATCTTGACTCATGAGTCAACATTGAGTGTAGAAGCCATGTACATGCAGTAAGGTAGAGATGACAAATTTTTATAGAGCCTGGGTTCCTGATGACCTGGTGGATCCTCCGAATCACTCCTGGATGGACTGTGAAGAAAAAAGGGGTAACACAGTATTAATTATTTAAAAAATTCCAACCACTTTACAGACATTGTTCAGTTTACATCTGAGAGTAGCCCATTCTCTATGAATTCCTTTCAATGTTTTATTTGTTATTTCTTCCACATATATATTATTCATTTGTACTTTATTGTTTTTATTTTTCATTGTTGAGAGTATTACATATGTTCCCTATTTTCTGCCCTCCTTCCAGCTCCCACCCCACCCTAGGTCTTCACCTCACTATTGTCTGTGTCCATGGGCTATGCACATATGCATATACGTAAGTTCTTTGGTTAATTTCTTCCAGTCCCCTCTACCCCCTTTCCTCTGAGATCTGTCAGTCTGTCCCATGTTTCCATGTCTCTGGACCTATTTTGTTCGTCAGTTTATTTTGTTCATTAGATTCCACATATAAGAGAGATCACGTGATATTTGTCTTTCACTGACTGGCTTATTTCGCTTAGCATAATAGTTTCCAGGTCTATTCATTCTATCTCAAAAGGTAGGAGGTCCTTCATTTTTACAGCTTCACTGTGTGTATGTACCACAGCTTTCTTATCCACTCATCTACTGATGGGCACTTGGGCTGTTTCCAGATCTTAGTGATTGTAAATAGTGCTGCTGTGAATATAGGGGTGCATATATTATTTCTGATTGGTGTTTCAGGATTCTTAGCATATATTCCCAGAAGTGGGATCACTGGGTCAAATGGCAATTCAATTTTTAATATTTTGAGGAAACATCATATTGTTTTCCATAGTGGCTGCATCAGTCTGCATTCCCACCAGCAGTGTACTAGGGTTCCCTTTTCTTCACATCCTCGCCAGCACTTGTTTGTTGATTTATTGATGGTAGCCATTCCGGCGGATTTGAGGTGATACCTCATTATGGTTTTTATTTGCATCTCTCTGATGATTAGTGATGCTGAACACTTTTTCATATGTCTATTGGCCATCTGTATGTCCTCTTTGGAGAAGTATCTATTCACGTCCTTTGCCTGTTTTTAAGTTGGATTGTTTGTCTTTCTCTTGTTGAGTTGTATGAGTTCTTTATATATTTTGGAGATTAACCCCTTATCAGATATATTACTGGTAAATATGTTCTCCCATAGTATGGGTTCCCTTTGCATTTTGAGACTTGTGATAATTCTAGTCCCATTTTTCATTCTTCCTTTGTTACTACCTTTTAGTGTTCTGTGAAATAATTTTGCCTCTCCTTTCTTATTCTGAATTTTTCTTTAGGCTTTCTGGGCAACACTAAACACTCACTTCTGTGTTTATTCCTTATTTCTCCTCATCCCCTCTAGTTCCTTTAATTATGGCATCCGTCTGAAATGTCTCCCTTTTGCATAATGTCTCTTAAAACCTTTAACAAAGAATATCATTAACTCTTAATAGAAAAACAGTTCATCAGAATCACACACCATGGAGTTCTTTTCACCTTTCCTAACTCTGGCTTGTCTCACAGATTTTTGTTGCTGTTTTACAATGAAAATCAATAATGATGTTTAATACATGTGACAATTTTTTAGAACTCTAAAATAGTTATGAGATTATCATTGATGTCATTGCTTTTATTTTGTTTCCACAGAATATACTTTCTCCTGTTGATTTAGAAAATTCTAGTAAACAGAGAAAACATGTTTCCTCTCTTTCATATGAATTAAAGATAAAAGGTATTGGCAAAAAATCAAGACATCTCGTTCAAAAAGGTCAGTTATATGAATTTTAAATTATATTTGATGAATAGATTTTAATGAGGAGTAACTAAATTCTTTAGAAGTTGGACATGTTAATTTTGAATTATAAATATAAGACTGTGTGAAATATAGGTTGAGCAGTCTAGATAAATTATCCATATCTCATTTAACATTTTATAAATATACAGATTAGAAAGTTATAAATCCTTCCTAATACACATGCTTACATGTCCCTTCCTCTATTATCACAATAAATTTATATTATCACTATTTGAGGGTTAGCTAATATATAATGTTTTAATTTTTGTGACTATGTAAACGCTACTTGCAGCTGAGCCACACAATATATTAGGAATATATTTGCTCCCTTATACTAATTTTAAAAAATTGCTTGAAAAATCTCATACCACTGCTATCCCCAAATTCATTGTATATTTTTTTCAAGATATTTCTATTTGAACCTTTCATTTTGTGGATTTCTTCAAAACTGCTTACTGTGTAAACCTGATTTTAATAGCTATCATTTCTTCAACTGTGATCTCAAGAATTTGTCTCTGTGCTGTTGGTACCCTTGTTTCCAGGATTCTATATCTTGTTCTTTTTTGGTTTATTTTATTATTTTATTGCAGTGTCTTCTTCATTAGTTTATTATACATAGGAAGTAAATTTTTTAAAACCTTGAAAGCCAAAACATATCTTTATGCTATACTTAACATTTGGTTGATGATTTGGCTGTGTATAACTTCCTTCAGAATTTCTTTAATTACTTTATTTTCTTCTAGCTTCCTGTATTGCCTTTGAGATATATATCACCATTTCATTCTTAGTTTGTTGTATATAAACGTCTGTTTGTTATTTTTCCCTTCTGACTGGAAATTTAGCATTTTCCCTTTCTAACAGCTGTTCTGCAATTTCACAGTGATTTGTCTCATAGGTATTTGTTGTTACCTGAGGTGGATTTTTATTCCATTTAATTTATTGTGGCTTTTCAATCTGAAAATATTTCTTAGTTCTAGGTGTTCCTCTTGTACTATTTTCATGGTAAAATATGTATAACAACTTACCATCTTAATAGTTTTTTTTTTTTTTTGTTACGGATGTTTCTCCTTTTTTCCCCATTGACATCCTCCTCCCCATCCTCCCCACCCTGTCCCCAGCTTTGTTGTCCATGTCCAGTTTTTAACTGTACAGTAAGCAACCATCACCTCTTTTTTTTCTTTGTCTTTCTAGCTAAGCTTATTGATCTTGTTTATCTTTTTGAGGAACCAAATATTGTTTTAATTGAATTTTCTCTGTTGCTTTTATAACTATTTTGTTTATCTCTCCACTAATATTTATTATTTTCTTTCTTCTGCTAGCTTTGAGCAGAATTTTTTTTTCATTTCTAGTTTTATCTGATGTAAAGTTAGGTTGTTAGATACATTTTTTTCTTTTATAATGTAATCATTTATAGTCATACAATTTCCTCTTAGCACTGATTTTCCCGTATCACATAGTTTTAGGATATTGTGTTTTCATTTTTATTTGTCTCAGATGTTTTATAATTTTCACTATGACCTCTTCTTTGACTCATTGGCTGTTTAAGAGTGTGCCATTTAATTTCCACATATTTGTGAATTTTCTAGTTTTCCTTATGCTGCTGAATTCTACTTTCATTCCTTTATTATGGCAAAATATAATTGGTATGATTTCAGTATTTTAAAATATATTAAGATTTGTTTTATAAGCATATTGCATGTCTTGGATAATGTTCCATATGCACTTGACGAAAAAGGTGTTTACTGATGTTGCTGCCAGAGTGTTTTGTATTTGTTTGGTCCAATTGCCCTTTAGTGTTGTTCAAGTCCTATGTTTACTGATTGATCTCTCTGGTTGTTCTATCTATATTAAAAGTGAGGCACTGAGTCTCCTACTATTATCGTAGCTGTTTGCACAGTATATTTTGTACCACTGCTGTTTAGTGAATGTGTGCTTATAATAATTATCTCTTCTTGGTTGATTGACCCTTCTATTATACAGTATTTTTATTTGTTTATTTACTCAAGGTCTGCTGGTTTAAGTGTTAATCTCATATAAAATATATCTTCACAGAAAATTCTAGAATAGTGAGTCATGGCTTAACCAAATTACCACATAAAATTAACTATTACTGACAGTTTTATTGAATATAGAATTCTCAGTTGACAGTTTTGTTTTAAATTTATCACTTTAAATATATTGTCCAACTGCCTTTTAACCTGCAAAATTTGTACTGAATTATCTGCTGATTGTCTTATTGAAAAATGTCTTGTATATGGTAAGTCATTTTTCTCTTACAGTTTTTAAGATTCTCTTTATCCTTTCTTTTCCTTTTTTACACTTCTTTGTAGTATCTCTCATTTTGGGTCTCATTTTGTTTATACTTCCTGGATTTTGTAGGGCTCTTTTGATCTGTAAATGTATGTGCTTCCTCAAAATTGGGAAGTTCATTTCTTTGGGAGGTTATTTCTTTAAATAACCTCTCTACCTTTTCCTCTTTTCCTTCTAGGATTCCCATAATGCATGTATTGGCCCATTTGATGTAAATTCCTAAGTCTCTGTTTACTTTTACACATTCTCTTTTTATTTTATTTCTCAAACTCTGTTATTTTAAATAAACTGCCTTTAATTTTGCTGATTTTTTTTCTTTTTGTTCAGGTCTTCAGTTGAACCCCTCAGGTGGATTTTTCTATTTGGTTATTTTACCATCTTTCTAGAACTCCTGTTATTAAGATGGACCTCCTAGACTGATTCTCTCATTTTCCTATTTTATTACTTATTTATCCATCTCTTTTTATAATTGTTATTTTGGGGAGATACTTACTCGGTTTTTATCTTCTACTTGTATAGTTTTAAATTATATAATAAAATTTCTAAAGTACATATATCTGTTCTTGGATCATAGATGGAATATCTTCTCTACATCTCTGAGGATATTAGTACCATCTAGATTTGATTGTTTTTGTGGTTAATTCTTCTGCATGCTATATTCTCCTATTCCCTCCAGTTATTTTATCCTAAGAGCTTTTTGAAAAATGCTTCTAATCTTTGTTTTTTCACATATAATTAAGAATTATGTTCTGAAATGATACTTGGAAACACTGATCCTATTTGTGGTTGTGTGTTATTGATTTGTAACTTTAATGTATAATAATTAAGTGGAATCCAGACTCTAAGTCTAGACTCCCTAAGATGCAGGGATTCTTCAGAAGACAATTCCAACATTTTGTCTGTGATATATGAATAACTGCTATTGTTCTCAGCAAAACTTGGTATAGCACTTTCATTTTATCTCCCAGTATTTAGTCAGGTGATTTCATTCTTCGTCTTTAATGGTACCTGGTGTTCCTGAATCAAGAATCTTTTTGGTTTATCTTCTCCATAGGGTGAGTCTTTAGTCTCCTATGAGGGCATAGGAATGTAGGAGTCACCTGGTTATGTGCGGTAGCCAGAGGATCTATTGATCTAATTATGCCTTTCAAATAATTCCTTAAACCATGCTTCTAATTCCCCCTCTCTTTAGTGTTTGCCACGTGCAAATAAGCTTATGAGCTTTCTTTTTTTTTTTTTGCTTCCCTGAATTAAACTTTAAATTTCAACTTCATACTGTCTTTTGTCAGTTATCTCTCATCCATTAGCTTTCTACTGGCAAATGTTTTTTGGTGTCACTGCTGTTTCTGCCTTTCTATTCTCATTGTCTTTGCATGTTTATTTTTGGTTTTTGATCATGGTATTGAGGGGAAAAATAACTATTTTAAAACAATTTAATCTACTTAACCAGAAGTCTATATTAATATTTTAATTAAGTTTACTTGTATGCACATTTTTGTATTAAGTATGTGGTAGGAAGGAAAAGTAGGAAGGAGAGGAGGAGGAGACAGGTAGGGAGTTTTGGAACACCCAACCTGTTCTAGTCATGGGGTGTGTGAACCCTTGGAAAACAGCACTCATAAATCATGCAGGGTCCTGATGGACTTCCCTCTCAAGTGTGTGCTTTGTACAGCCACAAGCAGTGGATCGTGGAAATTTAAATGTGTTAGCCTCTCCAGTGCTAGATAATGTCACTTTGTAACATTTAATTTAATTTAATTTATTATTTCTGTTTTACAGAAGAGGAAAATGAATTTAAGAAGCTAAGATAATTTATCCAAGGTCACATAATCCAAAAGTGCCAGAACTGATACTATTTCCAGGCTCTGTCTCCTCATTCAAAGTCTAGTGCCCTTTCTATTTAACCATGATGCCTCCTGAGGACTATAAATGTATTGCTACGTAATAATTAAATCATATGCATGGGAATATGGTTGTATTAGATTAAGCTGTCTAAATCTATGAAATTTAACTCACTTTGTCATTCCCTGTATTGTTTTAAATATTGTGCAGCCACCCATTTTTATATAAAATTCTGTAATTTCCCATTTTTAATATTTCTGATGTTAAAAACGCCATTAGAGTTGAAAGGTATCTTACTTATCTAAAATTGTTAGACAAATTAGAATAAAAATAACATTTTCCTCATAATTTTTCATTTAACTAACAGAAAATTACCTTATATTTGCTTTAAAAATGATTAATTTTAAAAGCAAACAAAAATTATACTAATTTTGCTTGAACAAACTATTATTTTTTTGACATGAGTTTTTTTTTTTTGTTTTGTTTTTTTTTAATCAATTCAGTGTTAACATAACAGTCTGAGGAATAGGGTAGACCCAGAAACATGGAAGTAGGGTACAGACTGACAACCCTCAGAAGAGGGGATGGTGGGGGGAGGGAAGAGATAAACCACAGAATTTATATGCATGTATGCAAAACCAACGGACATGGACAACAAAGCTGGGGATGGGGTGGAGGATATGGGGAGGAGGGTGTCAATGGGGTAAAAAGGAGAAACATCTGTAACAAAAATAAAATTAAAAATAAAATTAAAAAAAATTGTAAAAGAATTGCTTTTATTTTCTTTTATTAAGTAATATTTTCTGTTACATTTAATATGT